AGACATACAGTCGGAATTCTTTATTCCATGTTTCATCTATGTCTGTTATGTACTAATTTTTATGCCTTACACACTCAGTACATTATTCGTACTGACGCCCTATTTCCCGGGGCCTGCGTTTCATGCCCGCAGGTGCAGGTAGAGAAGTTTACGGGCCCCCTTCTTAGGATCCTTGATCAATGAGAGTTAGGCTGCTCCACTTGATCCGTAGCTGCTTTCGATTTTGGTACAATATGCTTGTATACATACATAGGTATGACGGGGCCCAGTCCCGTCCTTGTACAGTTGTATATTCTATTAGAGGTTTGTAGACAATAAGAATAGTTGGATAGTATATGGCCTTGCCGGCTTCAAGTTTTGGATATATATAGTTGTCTATAGCAGCCTGTCGGCTCGCCCTACGTATTCTGCACATGTATGTACATATGCTTTTGGGCAGGTTTCCCTCATGTATGTTATTCTCGTAATTCAGCAGATGTTATTCATGTTTATCTTAGACGTATGCTCAGGGGTGTTCGACGGGTAGGATTCGATCACTCATCGCGGCACATCGGTTTGGGTCGTGACAAAAGTGGTATTAGAGCAGTTCTGTCCTAGGGTTGTCTACAGACCGTGTCTACTAGAGTCTTCTTTATGGGTGTGTTGTGCACCACACTAATAAACATGAGGCTACAGGACATATAGGATGTTGTCCTCTCTTCTTATCTTAGATCATGCGATATAAGCATTCATGTTCCTAACTATATGTTACGTCAAAAGATAGTATTGGTCATGTAGAAAGGTCCGTAAGTGCGAGGGTTCGTGATTTCATGAATTTGGGCCCTCCGGTATTCACTGGTGCAGATCCAAATGAGGACCCTCAGGTATTTATCAATAGGATGCAAAGGACTTTGAGGGTAATAAAGGCTACTGCGACTAAGTTAGTTGAGCTAGCTTCCTATAGACATGAAGATGTTGCAGTTAATTGGTACTGTCGATGCCCCATTTTTCTCGCGAAATCGGGTTTATGACATTTAGGAGGACAACTCGTTTCCTTTTGGGAATTGAGTTTAAATTGAAGATTCGCCACCTAATGATTAAGTGCATTAGGACACTAAGGAGAATTTTGATTTAGAAAACCAGAGATTGGGTAAGGGCTTGAAATTATCCCGAGGGGAAGGTGTTAGGCACCCCTCGAGATCCACTAGTGTGGTTCCCGGCCATACTAAATTGTGACTTTAAGTTCAAACAATAAGTAGACAAGCAAGAATTACAAATACGGGGGGTTTTGATGTAATGGTTGCAAGAAATTGAAATTAAAAGAAGTTAAAGAAGTTGGAATTTAAGAAAAAGCAGTTTTGAGTTTTGAATGGATAAACCAGTAAAGAGAAAGGGTTTTCACATAATTATGGTAAGTAATTGAAATTAAATGAAGTTAAAGAAGCTGAAGTTTGAGAAAAGCAGTTTTTTTTTTTGTTTTTGAATAAATGAACAAGCAAAGGGAGGGGGTCCTAGGTTTTCAAATAATATGGATCACCCTACACAACACCCGGTAACCGTTTATACATGTGGTGTTATCGCATGGTCATCATATCCATATCTACCCTTTCCCACCCCATTAAGGTATTAAATGCGGAATGGTCTCGTTTTACTTATTGCATGCTATTACCCGCCCCCATCCTATCAGCCCCGGAGGTATTTGTGACTACTAATCCTAAAGGGAAGGGATATGTGGTTATATGGTTTCAAAGGACAAAATTCTAAGGTGACAATAAAAACACATATGTAACAAATATGGGGAAGAAACACAACAAATAGAAAGGGCTCAAACAAACCTCCTTAAAAACAAAGAGAAGCATATAGTTTAGCATGTCTTTACACGTACTATTTAGGGTCTGATTAAACTTAAGAGTTGTGGCAGACTGATCTATTACATATTTCAGATAAGAAGCCCGAATCAGGCCTGCTTGCTGGTTGTAGTTAATAAAATCTGATTAAATTTATAAGTTACCCTATGGCTTGCCTAAGTGTTGAACGAAAACCTATAGGCATGATATCTGTTAGTTTCAGAAGAGAAGTATACTGATTTTAAAGAAGAGGACTTGTTAAAAACATAAATTCTGCAGATGTTATGCATTGCTACTACTGATTTTAGACTTATAGGCAAAATAGATGATTCAGATTTAGTTGATAGCTCCAACTTTTTTTTTTAGCAAAACCACTAGGCGATGTGCCTAGGACTAGTTTTATTAATAATAATAATAAAAAGAAACCACATAGGAAGAGTACAAATAAGGGGGACAATAGCACCAGTAGTGTTGCCTCTATGCCTTGGCTATATAATCACTCCTCTGCGCCTCACATTGCCTTATGATGGCAGCCTCATGTAGAGGATCATGGTGTAGCTGTCGGCAAAGTCTCACGAGGGCATATAATCTCATAGCCATTTGGATATCTTCCCAAAGGCATAGGCCATGAGCGAACACATACTAGGCTAAACCTTACCTTACTAATCCTATTGAGGCATAAAAATACCTCATCTACTTGCAAGCATGAAGATAATAGGAACTACTAATAACTAAGTATTCTATGATCATCACGGAGTTTATAACATACTCTATGATGATATTACAAATGATGATGCTTAAGAAGTGATAAAATAAAACAATATAAAATATTGAGTCTTGCCCCTCATTTTTGAACCTTGTGCACTCTTCAATGTGTATCTTCTTGGCTTCTTCTTCAAACCTCTTGAGTATGTATGAAAAATGCATCATTTCTTTTTGGAGCGATTGGACCTGGTTGAGGTGGTTGAGGCAGCCACTTTTTGCTTTGCGACTCTCATTGGAGGTTTCCTAATGACAACCTCTTGTGTTACCTTGTCGTCCCAACTATGTTGTCTCTCGTGAGTCTTCTTCTTATTTTTGGTGGATCCACTTCTTATATGTCTAGGTGAAAGATCTCCCTCCCTAGCTACATTTTTAAAGGAAGCATCAAGTAATTCTTCCTCTTCCCCTTCTTCATAAAAATGAAGCCCCACATCAATACCAAAAGCTTCAGTAGCATCTAATCCCGAACTAAAGCTCCTTGCCCATGCCTCGGATTATGCAACGCTCTCAATGTATCTATATCATGAGAAACAAGAGCATGGAGGATATTGGTAGGTGTCAAATTGTATTTTGATACCATTGCACTTGAACTTCCAGTAGCATCAACATTGTACATAGATGACAAAACTGCTGCGCTTAGTGCGCGCTGCTGCCCAGATTTTGCGACCTCTTTGACAGCTTGTATTGCCGAACTAACACCCTCCAAAGTTGCTACAATTTGCTGCTGCTTGGATGGTACAAAAGCAGGAGCATTTGGACTTAATCCTCTCCTCTTTGGCCTGCTATATGTGGAATTAGAAACCTGCTCGCTTTGCACCTTTCCTTCCTCGTCCTTTGATGGAGGAGTTGCTGAAAATTGAGCTGCCTCATCGTCACTATCATCGTGTATGCTATCTGCATAATATTCCTCCTCCTCTTGAACTCGCTCAGCCCAAGTCTTGCGATGAACATCAATTGCACTCGCCGCACCTATTGATAGTAGCTGCTGTCCAGATTCACCAGCATGCTCACCAAAGGACTCCATCAATTGTGAGGGAACCTCATATACTGAGGTATTTAGCGGGACCAAAGGTGCCTTAACCTTTGGAGTTGTATTCAACAACATAGCTGTATGGGCATCCTTCACCATTTTAGCTAAATCCGGACTGGAAATATGCAGTGTTGGTGTGGCTGCCACTGCCTCTTGCTCATCAACTAGAATAATTTCTTTCGAACCAACAAGCTGTCCACCTGTATGCTGAGAAAAGATCTGTTGTTCTGGACTTTCTGGAGATTTTGGCCTCCCAGATTTTGAAGCTGCCTCGCGATGACGCTGTTGCGTAGTCGTTGCAATATCATCCAAAATAGGTTTATCCATCAGAACCTGCTGTATACTCTTCCCCTCCTTATTCATCACATGTTCCTGGTCGTTTCTCAAGGCATCAAAAGAGTTAGAAAATTCAATGTTCTTTGGTGTTGTAGCCTGCTCTTTCACCTCTGAAGATCTTTTATTAGATGATCTATTTACCACTCCTTGCTTCTGTTCCAGCTGCTGCACGTTAGTATTGTTTGGAGATCCTTTTTTGCTGGACACCATTGTCCAGTTTTCAGCTTTTGTCTCTGCAATGTTATCATTCTTTACACCTTCCATCAAAGCATCAGTAGCCTCCAGCTTTGAGACCACAGCAGCTCCACGATCATCGCCAGCTAGTGCACCAACTGTTGCCTTCTCAACTTGTGTATTTGTCCCCAATGCTGTATACATCCTTGTCAAGATTGTAGTAGCAGGTATATCCTTCAATCTTCTATCATCTCCAGTAGGTTTTTTCTTCTCAACAAATTGCCCCAGATTCAATAGCAACTGTAGCAGCAGTAGCCACTGCTTCTAAAATTTGCCCAGTTCCCTTTCCAATTGTATCATCTGTGCTACTCAACTGTCCAGCTGCTATCTTACCCATATTTGCATGATCAACAGTAGCTCCATGTATTACAACAGGTTGAGTCCCATTAGCTACATGAGATGAAGAATCACCAATAACTAGGATTGTGTTCTTGTCACCCAAATCTTCATTACTTCTCCCGCTCAACATAGGATTAACTAATCCTGCAGCTCGATCACTAGGGACCTCCACATGCTCTGAAGCCTCCGTTCTTTGCTGCTTTTTTGCATTCAAAAAAAACCCTAGCATCCCCATGCAGCTTTTCAACTGTCTTACCTTCATTGTCGAGGATTTCTTCTTCCTTTTGCATGACAGCTTCATCTTCACATTGCCTACTTCCTACTGTCTGTTTATTTAACTGTCGACATGTTTTTTCATCATGTCCTTGATGCTTGCAATGATTTCAATACAATGGTAAGTTATCATAGACAAATTCTTGAAACAATTCCACAATCTTTCCCATCTGTTTATCAACAAATTGCAATCGCAACTTTTAAGGTAAATTGTCCAATAAATCGAGGATCACCTTAACTCTAGCAGTACAAGGGCGAGACTTGATCTGAGTAGCTTTATCAATAGCTATGGGCTTGCAAACAGCTGAAGCTATGGACAACAACACATTCTTTGCGAACAACTCCGTCGGCAGTTTTGGAAAAGAGATCCAAACTATTGCCTTCGTCGTCTCCTCGTTTCCGTTAAAACCAACTGACCATGGAAAAACTCTAATTTGGTGCTCCTTTCCATTGTGATTAAAATATTGGACTGCCCTAGCAAGTGAATTAACAAAATCTTCATGTTGATCAGCCCTAACGAGCAACTGCCTTGGCGCAAGTTGGCCGATCAAAACTTGTCCTTTGATGCCGAAATTTTTTGGCAGTATGGTTCTCATTGTTGGTAAATCTGGAACATTTGAAGACTGTTTCACCACAATAGCTTGATGTAGTCCCTCCTCCTTTGAAAACTCCATACGTTCATCCATGGAAAATTGAATTGTTGGTACTCCATGAACAAGTTCAATAGGTTTTAGTTGTGTTTGGTTCAAATTTGCTGCTGCTTTGGATTGATATAGACGTGTGGCATATGTTATTTGATTTGTAGGGTTTTGTATGCTCTCTTTAAGGGCTGGAGATGGCTCTCCCACAGCCAAAGGCTGGGGAGAGATGGGCATGGCCATGGCAGCTCTAATTCACCATGGAAATCGCCCAAGGAGAGGAGAGAGAAGAGAGCAAAGTGTCGTAGGTTTAGGGTTTAGGGTTTTTTTCTTTCCCCCTCCCAATTTAGGAGGATCTATAGTGTTTCCACACTTCCCCTCCAGGTGACTCGAACCCAGGACCTAACGGTCGTGGGTGGAGGTGCTATACCAACTGTACGGTCGTGGGTGGAAATTACTTGTAATGTATTTTATGAATAACTATTGGATATAAAATACTGATTAAATTAGAAAATAAATTGATAATAATATGGAAAATTATGGAAAAATACCAATTATTATAAAAAGTGATTTTGAAGGCATATATGCAAAATGAAAAAATAGTTTGAGGAAAAATTGGGTATCAATAGCTGGCCCTCTTTATCGGGAAGGATGAAAGAGTTTTCGGGTAAAGAAATGATGGCCAATTTTGACCGAGAGAAACGATTTGGGAAGATTTCGGCCGCACCCTAGCTTCTGAGTTGCCTACATATCCCTGGTTTTACAGGACGGACGCGATATTTCGGGCTGGGTGAGTTTACGGGAATGGTTAGGTTTGATATGGCTGCGGGCACTGGAGCGAAACTGCTCCCGCCAGGATGGCCGTTGCTTGCCGGTTTACCTACAAATGAATAATATAAGCATATATTGTGCGTAAATTTAGACATGATGCAAATTCCTGTTGGACCATGAATGCTGTCTTTGGAAGGTTAAGAATGGCGTCCTCAGACCATGATGTCCTGGGCCATGAAGCGTATAATAAAGGATTCGCAGGCCATGAAATGATGCTCTTGGGCCATGAGGATGGTGCCTCCGAACCATGATGCCTTTGAATAATGATATGCAAAAAGATTGAAAGGGGTCCTCAGGCCATGACGTGGTGTTCTCGGGCTATGAGGATGGTGCCTTTGAATGATGACGCCTTTGGATGGGTTGGCGATATTTCAGCCCATGAAGGATGTAGTAGCATGTGGCGATCTTTCACCTGTGCAATGTGGCGATCTTTCAGCCGTGCAATGTGGCGATCTTTCAGCCGTGCAATGTGGATGGAGATAACGTTTTGTCTCGGAAGGCAGAATAGTAGCCTTATGCAATGCAGATGCAATTGGAGGTAGAGCTTAACCTCGGAAGGCAGAATGGTAGCCTTATGCAAGTTGGAAGGCAGAATGGTAGCCTTATGCAATGCAGATGCAGATAGAGGTAGAGCTTAACCTCGGAAGGCAGAATAGTAGCCTTATGCAAGTTGGAAGGCAAAATGGTAGCCTTATGCAATGCAGATGCAGATAGAGGTAGAGCTTAACCTTGGAAGGCAGAATAGTAGCCTTATGCAAGTTGGAAGGCAGAATGGTAGCCTTATGCAATGCAGATGCAGATAGAGGTAGAGCTTAACCTCGGAAGGCTGAATAGTAGCCTTATAAGTTGGAAGGCAGAACGGTAGCCTTATGCAAGAAATAAAATAGTAGATGACAGTAGAGTTTCTTAGCTGATAGCAGATTGCGGCGTTGTGACATATGGGACATCACTGGTGTGCATATAGCAAATGTTGGCAAGTGTAACGGTTAAGAGAGTCTTATTCTTGAACAATGTTTGTTCCATGAGTGTGCAGTATGTTTTAATGATGTCGCAATCCTTGTGCCTGCATCCAAAGAAAAATCGTGAGTTTTGTAAAGGGGAAAGGTTAGTTCGTATCCCTGCTGGCTTTGCTTAACTCGTCCTGATTTGATCTGGTGATACCATTTGTATCATTGGGGTAGCGTTGCTAAACAAAGAAGTTTCAATAATAAACATGCATGATTTTCTAAAAGTATGACATAAATGTATAATTAAAGTAGTTTTAGATGAACCGACGACTGTGACGTGGTTCGAGACATTGCAATCTCTCATGCTACGGAATTTTGAGGGTCCTCCTCAAAATTCTGCCCCACTTTGATGGGTTGGCGTTTCTGATTGTTGCTCGTGCGATGATCGGCTGAAATTACTTCAGAATTTTGAGGGTCCTCCTCAAAATACTACCCCAGTTTCCAATTTCGGGGGGGGGGGGGGGGGNCCCCAGTTTCCAATTGCGGGGGGGAATGAAAATTTTATTGAATTGTGACTGAACCCATAGGGCTGCCTACGTATCCCCTCTTAAACGAGAATCAGGTCAGGCGTAGTTCAAATTTACATCATATAGGGAGGACATAAAGATTACACATAGTAACGCTTGACTGCATCTGAATTTATCGGCTTTAGCCAGACTTCTCCGTCTATTTCTGCAAGTATGAGGGCTCCTCCTGTAAAAACTCGGTGAACCATGTGTGGGCCCTGCCAGTTGGGAGAGAACTTCCCTTTGGCTTCATCCTGATGCGGAAAAATTTTCTTTAACACCAGCTGCCCCGGTGTGAACTGTCTTGGCTTGACTCTTTTGTTGAAGGCTCTGGACATTCTGTTCTGATAGAGTTGACCATGGCAAACTGCGTTCATTCTCTTTCCTTCTATAAGAGGTAGTTGCTCATAATGACTCTTTACCCACTCTGTGTCGTTGAGCTCAGCTTCCTGTATGATCCTCAAGGAAGGAATTTCTACTTCGGCGGGAATGACGGCTTCTGTACCATAAACCAGCATATAGGGGGTTGGCCCGGTTGATGTGCGCACTCTGGTGTGATACCCTAATAAAGCAAATGATAACTTCTCGTGCCATTTTTTATGCTTCTCTATCATTTTCCTCAATATCTTCTTGATATTCTTCTTGGCGGATTCTACGGCCCCATTCATTTGAGGCCTGTAGGCTATGGAATTCTTGTGTCTGATCTTAAAGGTTTCACACATGGTTTTCATCAAGTCGCTGTTGAGATTGGAGCCATTATCAGTAATGATTGACTCTGGAATACCGAATCGACAAACAATGCGGTCCCGAACAAAGTCTGTCACGACTTTCTTAATCACTACTTTGTAAGATGCTGCTTCGACCCACTTGGTGAAATAGTCAATTGCCACTAGGATAAACCTGTGTCCATTAGAAGCGGCAGGCTCAATTGGTCCAATGACGTCCATTCCCCAGGCGGCGAACGGCCATGGCGAGCTTGTTGTGTTGAGCTCGCTTGGAGGTACTTTTATCATGTCTGCATGTATCTGGCAGCGATGGCATTTTCGGACATACTGGATGCATTCTGTTTCTATAGTCATCCAAAAGTAACTAGCCCGGAGTATCTTCTTTGCTAAGACAAAACCATTCATATGTGGACCACAGGTCCATGCATGAATTTCCTCTAGTAGCTTGGATGCTTCCTTTGCGTCGACACATCTTAATAGTCCCAAATCAGGAGTCATCCTATACACGATTCCTCCGCTGTGAAAGAAATTGTTGGACAATCTCCGAAGTGTGCATTTCTGAGTATGATTGGCAAGCTCCGGGTACTCCTCTTTTGCCAGATATTCCTTGATATCATGAAACCAAGGCTTTTCATCTGCTTCCTCTTCAACATGGGCATAGTAAGCTGGCTGATTATGAATTTTCACCGGAATGGGATCAATGAAATTCTTCTCGGGATGTTGTATCATAGATGATAGGGTAGCTAGTGCATCGGCGAACTCATTCTGGATTCTGATGTATGAGTAAGTCTGAATCTCCAATTACTAGCAGCTCTTGAATGTTCATGTCAATGGCCATTTTGAGCCCTAAGATGCGGGCTTCATATTCGGCTATATTGTTGGTGTAGGGGAACCTGAGTTTGGCAGACACTGGATAATGCTGACCGGTTTCTGATACCAAGACCGCTCCTATGCCAACTCCTTTGAAGTTTGCTGCTCCATCGAAAAACATTCTCCAACCGTCATAGGATTCTGCAATGTCTTCTCCTATGAATGATACCTCTTCATCAGGAAAATACATTTTTAGAGGTTCGTATTCACCATCCACAGGGTTTTCGGCAAGGTGGTCTGTCAGTGCCTGTCCCTTGACCGCTTTTTGAGTTACATAGACAATGTCGAACTCACTCAACAGGATTTTCCACTTGTCTAGCTTTCCAGTGGGCATGGGCTTCTGAAAGATGTACTTCAAAGGATCCATCCTTGATATGAGGTACGTTGTATAGGCACAGAAGTAATGTCTCAGTTTCTGAGCTACCCAAGTCAAAGCACAGCAGGTGAGTTCCAACAGAGAATACCAGGCCTCGTACGGGGTGAACTTCTTGCCGAGATAATAGATGGCTTGTTCCTTTCTCCCTGTTTCATCATGTTGCCCCAAAACGCAGCCGAAAGCTCCATCTAACACTGCAAGGTAGAGCAGTAAGGGTCTACCTGGCTCAAGAGGAACTAGGACTGGTGGTGTTGACAAGTACTCCTTGATTCTATCGAAGGCCTTTTGGCAGTCATCGGTCCATTTGGTAGCGACGTCCTTCTTTAACATTTTAAAGATCGGCTCACAGATAACTGTAGACTGCGCTATGAATCGGCTGATATAGTTCAACCTTCCTAGGAAACTCATCACATCTTTCTTGTTCTTTGAAGGTGGTAATTCTTGAATGGTGTTGACCTTTGATGGATCCAGTTCTATTCCTCGGCGGCTCACAATAAACCCAAGCAACTTTCCAGCAGGGACCCCAAATGCACATTTTGTGGGGTTTAGTTTCAGGTTGTACCTCTGTGTATGCTTTCTTCTCTGATGGCAATAAGTGAACGCTGATTCATGTTTCCTTGACGTTTTCTGCATCTCCCAAGTTAACAATCTCTGTCTCGTCCAGGTTGGACTTAGGTCTGTTCTCAAAGTTCTCAACTTCTTTGACAATATCCTCTGGTATATCATCCTCTTCTGAATCAAGGTCCGTTTGTTGCATCGTCTCATTGCATGTCACAGTCATTGGTTCATCAAGATAAGTAATAGTAATGATGTGTAAGTAAATAAGGAGAAAATGATGGAAATAAATTAATTCATTGGAAAAATCAAACATGCTTTGATAAATTGAATAATTGTTTTGAACCTTGAAGATCTTATTGCGAAAATTGAA